GCCCCAACATAGTAAAAGGTAAAGGTTTCGCCTTGACACTGAGTTTAGTCATGTCCAAATCTGGGTGGTGGTGCTCATCTCCATTTCTAAGGAGCCAGCGTTGACTGTAGACACCTCCAAGGTCATGTGGCCAGCATGACTGCCTGGCGCGCTGTTACCGTCCCACTATTGATCTACTTGCATTTGCATGTTTTCAAACTGTTAGGTTGGCATGAGCTAGGGCTAACGACAGGAGCTCACCCCATCCTGCAGATCTGAACCGCTGACATTCCGGTCAGCAAGTTCTGTAGCTTAGTGGTTTAACCACTGTGCCACCATGACCCCAACATAGCATCCATGATTGTATCAGGTAATGTATGGGCATGAAAATAAAATGATAGTTTTAGGAAACAAGATCTAATTATTGAATTGACTGATACTGTTTTTCAAGTCACACCTCAAGGCATGGTTTCAAATCAAAACTTTTCCTGCTTTGTCTTATTTTATGTTTCAGGCATTTAAATAGGATTCTTTTTACTAAAGGAAGGCTAGCAATTTGAGCCAATGTAGGTCACACTATTTAAAATTGCTTTTTGCTTTAAGTTATTTCACTATGAAAGCACTCTTTTGACTTAAAAAAAACCTTCAATACCAAGGTCGTACGTTTGTGGGCATTTTGCTTGTGATCTGAGTTGAGACATTAGATATGCATGCACTTAACCCCACTGAATGTCTCCTCAGATGCATTTCCACATGTGTTGAAATCCACTTCTTCATCGTGTCATAAGCAAATTGAGAATACTGCAAGTCACTTCTGGTGTGAGAGAATTGGCTGTCTGCAAGGATGTTGCCTAGGGGACGCCCGGATGAGTTACTATCCTCTGGGAGGTTTCTCTTATGTCCCCGCACGGGAAGCTGGGACTGACAGACAGGAGCTCACCCTGCTCCCCAGATCCGAATGGCCAACCTTCAGGTCTTCAAGTAAGCAGTTCAGATGGAACAAGGGTTTAATCCTGAAAAAACACTACTAGCCAAGACCATCAATACAGGCATACAGACATGCTTCATCTTGTTCAGTTTAAAGTAGTGGTCACCAACCTGTGGTCTGTGGAGCACCAGTAGTCCACAAGAACTAAAATAGGGTCAGTGGCATCACCATTACTACACTGCTGCAATGAGAGCGAATGGTCTCACGAAACCCTCTTATAGTGCCGAGGCTTATTAAATATGGTTTTCTGTGGATGGGCAGATGGCAACTACTGGATGGTATATATTCTGTATCAGAAACTAGAGCTGATGTGGTCTATCCAATGCAATTTTCTGAATCAGCATCCCAAATAACCAAACCGAATCTAAAGTTGACCAAAAACCGGTTCGTAACCCTTTTGGCACTTATTTGAAGATTGGTCCCTGGTCAAAAAAAGGTTTGAAACCACTGGTTTAAAGTGATTTCTTATGGTCCTAAGCTTAGGCATCAAAACTGTGCTTGAATGTGTCCCCTACACAGTCATTCAATATGGACACTTACATCATTAACTACTGCAGCCATAAGCTGTGTAGGTGAGTGTTTTTTCCTATTATTTTATTGGCATTGTTTTGTTCAGAAATTAGTTTCTGATTTACAAAAGGGTGCCAGTGTTAGCTTGTTCCAGCTTGCAGAAGTGATAACAGTGTGCTTTGGCACCTGAAGACCAATATATGTATTATAGCAAATAGACTTGCAGTCTATAGTCCATGTTATCAGATGCTTCTAAGAGCATCAATGAGCACGTCTACACTGTAGAATTCACGCAATGGGACAGTGCTTTAAGTGCCATGTTTCAATGATATAGAATCATGGAATTTGTAGTTTGGTGAGGCGCCTGCACTCTTTGACAGAGAAGGCAAAAGAATTTATAAAACTACAACTCCCACAATCCCATAGCATTAAAGTGGCATCAAATTATATTAATTCAAAGTGCAGGTGCACCCAATATCTTCTGGAGGCCAAGACGGCTTCTGTAGGATCTCAAACCACATCTACCCTTGTTATGATTCAGCTTTTGAAGGATCTGCCTTTCTTATTTTGCTCCTCTAGCCTTCCTAATTAAGGACTGCAGACTCTTGCAGTTTTACTGAAAGTCCTGCTGTTCTTTTCTAGATATATACTTAATCCTCCAGCTGGTGAAACAATTGAGGTTTATAGCAGGCATGTCTATAGAGAGAAGTCTGGTGATATAATTCCAATGTGTGCTATTAAAATGTAAACAATGAATTGAAAGGACCCTACTATTTTTATTGTCTGCATGTTTAACCAAATGCCCAGTTCTACAGATACTGGGCTTTATTTTTTCCCCCCTTCTCTTTGAAAGATAAAATCTTATTGTCCAAAGCCTATCTTGTGACAATCACATTTCATTTTTATTATGCTTTCACACAGAGTAATTCTATTCTGCTGATCTTAGTATTCTTGGATAAAAACAAACCAACCCCAAGTCATGCAAATAAACTAAGTAAAGTTTTCACACAGCACATAATCACTTTGTGGAGTTTGGTTTCACAAGATCCGATGATGACTAGAGCTCGGAGAAGTTGATTTTGTGGACTGTAGCGTACAGATCCCACAGACCTCTTACATTCTTACAAATGTTACTTGGTGCCATTATCACCACCTTTCATCCAAAGCACAGTGGTAATTTTGAAAGTGGAAGTAAATAGAATGACAGTTCCAAATACCTATACCAGTCAAGAGAATCCAAATATTTTGGCACGCTGTAGTTCAGTGGTTCTTAACCTGTGGGTCCCCAAATGTTTTCACCTACAACTCCCAGAAATCCCAGCCAGTTTACCAGCTGTTAGGATTTCTGGGAGTTGAAGGCCAAAACATCTGGGTACCCACAGGTTGAGAACCACTGCTGTAGTTGATTTGTATCCATAAATTACATAAGGATGACTTTACCTATCAGCATTCAACAAAATATATCCTCTTCAAGGTTTTTCCCCCTAGATTCTGCAAGTAATCCTATGTACGCTTCCATCACAGGTCACCACGGAGTCACAATGGAGGAATTAGCCAATATCTCTGAGAACTTTCTTGGTCCTCATGGCAATTCTATGGTAAGATCTGGCAAAAGTCATTACATTTGATGCGTTTTGCTATTATCCACGGTTTCCTCTTTCCATTGTAAGTTCAGGGAGGTATCCTTCTAGGATCCAAGAATGACACTATAATTCTAGCACTAGACATTTCCACCAGGAGCACGTCCTTTACAAAACTAATCGATCCTAGTTGCTTATACAACACAAAGCTACACTAAAATATTCTGTATTATGGCAGAAGTGACTCATAACAATATATTGTTGCTGAGAGAAAATTTATTCCTTTTTCACCTCTCACACTCCATCTATTGTAACAATTGAAAAGAAAGGAAGAAAATTGAAGGGAGGCAGCAAATTATACCATTGTCCCTGCTGATCATAAAGTACCACTACTGCGATCCCCTGATACTTTATTACCCCACTGGGTTCAATGAGATGCAAAGATACTAAAATGTACAGAGGGTAAATAGCCTGAGGGTCTCATGCAGAAGCGGCCCTAAGTACTTTTCAACAGTAAGCAAACAGTATTTTGCCCCCCCCCCCCAAACCAATCACTGATATATATTTTCTGTTCGTCGTAGAAGTTCTGTGTGCCATATTTGGTTCAATTCCATCATTGGTGGAGTTCAGAATGCTCTTTGATTGTAGGTGAACTATACATCCCAGTAACTACAACTCGCATGCGTCAAGGTCTATTTTCCCCCAAGAGCGCCTCAAGAGCGCCCCTGGGAAAAATCAACTATACTGCAAACGCTTACTTTGCGTAATGGGTTGAGCCACCCCTGGTCTCATGTGGCCTTCAGGACCATTTTTGTGGCCTTCAAGGAAGTGATATCACTTCCTAAAGTTAAGAGGACTCTCCATTGCCCAAGAGGCCTGAAACACATGATGAAAACACTCTCCTGATGTACTAGAGGGCATTTGTGGAGTATTCTTTCTTTCTTTTTTGCAATGTGGACAGTAGCTGTTCAAGGTTTTCTGGGGGCCTAACATGGCCTCCCACTGTTGTCCAGCCTGATGTATGATTTGGAAAGCACAACTGCTTCTAAACACATTTCGGCCACACGATTTCTGTGCTATCCTTGATAAGATCACCTGCATTTAATGCATTCAGGTATATTTCTGTCTTTATGTATTACCACTATGTTACACCAAATATCCTATATTGTGCCAAAAAGGGGAAAAAATAGACTGCAGATACGGAAGCGCCATTGTCAGCTTGGTATTCATTATGCCTGATTTGGATGCAAAAGCTGTAGTTTGGGATTTCCTGTTTGTTTTCCCTCCTCCTCCTCCCTTCAGCACTGAGCAGATGTGCCTGAAGTGTGTGTGCATGTGTGGGGAGTCCTGTGCGCTGTGCTCTAAAACTATTCAGTCATTGCTTGCGAATGTTTTGACTCAAAGGATGGAAAGCAATGCGTCCCTGGACTGTAATAAACACAACCAGGCAAACTGCCTTCCCATAATATTAGATGATGCCATTATTCACCAATCAGAGCCCGAGGTTCCTGCTGCCCGCGCACCAATGAGAAGCTAGATACAACTCCAAAGAAGACCCAGTCATTTGGAACTAAAAATAAAGTATCTGACAGGGCTGGTTTGTTTTCATGGTGCAATAGGAGTTAAGAGATCAGGACAGCAACAGACCTGTTTGTAACTGGGGAGTGGGTTAGGCTGGAGAGCAGTTCTTTCTCAAAAGATCTGTGCCAAGCAATATACAAAGCAATTATTATAAGCTGCCAGTGTGAGACACTTCGACATAAAACACAGGACTTTGAATAATTCAACGTGTGCAAGTAAGCATGAAAAGAGCTATATTTTTGGAACACACCCCGAATGAATTCCTTAAAAAAAAACTGCACACAAAGCAGACAAACCTATTTTGCTCATCCAGGTCCATGAGATCAAAAAATACAAGAAAATAATAATAAAAAAACCCTTACCTGTCCTGCAGTGTCATATAGCCCAAGGAGATATTGCTTGCCTCCAACTGTGACACTGACTGCAAAAAGAAAATGCAGCAAGGCATCAGAAGCAAAGCAGACATACACACCACACACAAGCTTTGAGCTTCTCTCTTCTCATTTCAGAACACCAAGAAGTACAAGAAGAGAGTATGGTTTCAATTATTCACTCAGACTCAGACATAATCATTAAAAACTACCACGTCCCACAGAAGAAAAAAGGAATGATTTATTTTTAAATAAAAAAACACCTTCAAGGCACTTTTAGGATGGAGCCAAGCAGAGAATGAACATTGGGAAAGGGACCATATGCAAGAAACAGACTGTTCCCATTAAAAGTATGCATTTCCTCTTGACACACTCCAATTTATGTGTGCCCACAATGGAAAGTATTTCAGGATATCGCTACAACTTCAAATTCACCCCCATCCCTCGCTATTCCTTTACTTTCCCAGTTTTCATTCACATTTTTGGACTCCTAAATGTGATCTTCTTGGAAAACAGTTTCTCAAATGGAGGAAGGGGGAGAAAGGAAAGAGGGGAAGGAAGGAGTAAAGTAAATTTTCCTACAAAATAAAACACCCCCACTTGCACATTCTTTTTTACATTTCAACTTTTCATGTACATCTTTGAGTCTCTAAATATGATCTAAATATGATCTCCTTGACAATTATTTTATCAAAGGTTGGATATGTAGGAAGGAAGTGGAAGAAGGAGGAAAAGATGAAGAAAAAATCAAAGGAGCAAAAGAAGGAAGAAAGGTAGAAGGAGGAAAGGAAGGAGAGGAAATGAGAGAGGAAGGGAAAGAGAAGGGAAGGGAAGAGAAAGTGGAAGGAAGAAGGGAAGGAATGAAAGAGGAAAGGAGGGGGAAAGCAGGCAAGAAAGGAAGGTGGGAGGGAAGGAAAAGGAAGCAAAGAAATAAAGGAGGGAAGGAACAAAAAGAGGAAGGAGGAAGGGAGGGAAGGAAGGAAGGAAGGAAGGAAGGAAGGAAGGAAGAGAAGAAGGAAGGAAGAAGGAAGGAAGGAGGGAGGAGAAGAAGAAGAGAAGGAAGGGAGGGGAAGGGAGGAAAGAAAAAGAAGGGAGGAAGGAAAGAGAGAAAGAGAAGGGAGACGAAAGAAGAGAGGGAATGAAAGAAAGAAAAAAGAGAAAAAAGGATGGAGAGAGAGAGAGAAGGAAGGAGAGAAAGAGAGAGTGAGTGAGAGAGAGGGATGGAGAGTGAATGAAAGAGGGGGAAGGAAAGAAAGAAAGAAAGAAATAAAGGACAGAAAGAGAGAAAGAGGGAGAAAGAGAAGGAAGGATAGATAGAAAGAAAGAAAGGAAGAGAGAGAGAGAGAGAAGGATAGAGAGAGAATGAAAGAGGAGAAGAAGAAGGAGGAAGAGAAGAAGAAAGAAAGGACAGAAAGAGAGAGGAGGATGTAGAGAGAGAATGAAAGAGGGAGAAAGAGAAGGAAGGATAGAAAGAAAGAGTGAGTGAGAAAGGACAGAAATAGAGAGAGAGAAAAGGATGTAGAGAGAGAATAAAAGAGGGAGAAAGAGAAGGAAGGACAGAAAGAATGACAGAAAATGTGTGTGCGTGTGAGAGAGAAAGAGAAGGATGGAGAGGAGGAGAGAGAGAAAGAGGGAGAAAGAGTCAGGCATAACAACCCTAGCCAGATGTATCCGTGGTCAATCCAAACCGTCCTCTTCCCCACAGCTTCTCCCCTTCCTTCCCTTTTTGGCCTGCCATAACCAGCCAACTCCAACTGTGGGGAGGGCTGGGAGCAGTGTCCCAAACGAGTTTAAGGCAGACTTGGGCCTTCCTTCCAGGTGTTTTGGACTTCAACTCCCACCATTCCTCACAGCCTCAGGACCCTTCCTTTTCCCCCAGCCGCGGCTGAGGGGGGAAAGGAAGGGTCCTGAGGCTGTGAGGAATGGTGGGAGTTGAAGTCCAAAACACCTGGAAGGCCGAAGTTTCCCCTCAAGTTCCCGGGAAGGAGGGAGGGAAGGAAGGAGACCCTCTCTCCTCCTCACCTGCGTAATGGTCGAAGACGGTGGGCACGTACTCCTCGGGGAAGGCGTCGTTGGCGTAGCTCATGAGGAGGCAGGTCTTGCCCACCGCCCCGTCGCCCACCACCACGCATTTCAGCATCACCGCCGCCGCCCCTCCGTTGGCCATGATGCAGACGAGGAGAAAGAAGAAGAGGAGGAGGAGGAGGAGGAGGAGGAGAAGGCGCCCCGACCCGCCGCCGTCATTGTTTTGTGTTGGAGGCGCAAAGGAGAAAGAGGAGGAGGAGGAGGAGGAGGAGGAGGCTCTGGTTGAGAGGCAGAGCTTCAAGCCTCTCTCTCTCTCTCTCTTTCTGAGTTTGGTTTCTTTAAATGCTGGCCAGGGTTTTGTGTTTGCCGTCCTCCCCCTTTTCGCCTCAGCAGCAGGCGCCACAAATCACGGGGGGAGGAGGAGGAGGTGGCGTGGCTTCTCCTCCTCTTCCTCCTCCTTTTGCCCTCTTCCTCCTCCTCCTCCTCTTCTTCCTCTGAAGGTGCCAAATTAGGCTCGGAGGGGTTTCCCTCCCTTGAGGCTGGGAAGGAGAACGGGAGACGCGTCCACACGGGCCACTTTAGCCCGCTTCGAGCCCCCTCCTCCCCTTCTTCTTTCCATGTGCCCGAAGGGGAACCTCCTTCCCTCTCCTCCTCGTCATGAAGTGTGTGTCTGTCTCAAAGGAGTGGAAAGGCACTTAATTTTCCTGCAAAAAGGGATATATCAAGCAGCCTTTTTCTCTCTCTATAATACTATATATATGTATTTTAGCCTCTCCCTGCCACCCCAGGCCAGTTGGAGAGGAAAGGCAAGGAAAGGAAAGGAGGAGCCCTTCCCCAACAGCTGAGGGATCCTCTCCCAAGTGCCACCTGCGGCCAGAAACGTCCACAGCGCTTTCTCAGGCGGGATGGATGATGACATCACTCCCGAAGAGGGATCCACTCCAGACATTTTAGGGTTGGAGCCCTCGGGGGTGGCGCAGTGGGTTAAACCCTGGTGGCAGCAGGACTGAAGACCGACACGTCGCAGGTTCGAATCCGGGGAGACTGCGGATGAGCTCCCTCTGTCAGCTCCAGCTCCCCATGCGGGGACATGAGAGAAGCCTCCCACAAGGATGATAAAACATCAAAACATCCGAGCATCCCCTGGGCAAAAATCCGGGCATCCCCTGGGCAACGTCCTGATAAAACATCCAGGCATCCTCTGGGCAGCATCCTTACAGACAGCCAGTTCTCTCACACCAGAAGCGACTTGCAGTTTCTCAAGTCGCTCCTGATACACACACACACAAATTTCAGGGTTGTATGAACAATACATTGAACATCTCTACGGGGATGATAGAACATCAAAACATCTGGGTGTTCCCTGGGCAACGACCTTGCAGACAGCCAATTATCTCACACCAGAAGCGACTTGCAGTTTCTCAATTCAGGCCTCACACACACACAGATTTCAGGGTTGTATGGACAATACAGTTCTCTCACACCAGACGTGACTTGCAGTTTCTCAAGTCAGGCCTCACACACATACACAAATTTCAGGGTTGTATGGACAATACATTGAACATCTCTATGGGGATGATAAAACATCAAAACATCTGGGTGTTCCCTGGGCAACATCCTTGTAGACAGCCAATTCTCTCACACCAGAAGCGACTTGCAGTTTCTCAAGTCAGGTCTGACACACACACCAATTTCCGGGTTGTATGGACAATACATTGAACATCTCTATGGGGATGATAGAACATCAAAACATCTGGGTGTCCCCTGCACAACATTCTTACAGACAGCCAATTCTCTCACACCAGAAGCAGTTTCTCAAGTTGCTCCTAAAACACACACACACACAAATTTCAGGGTTTTATGACAATACATTGAACATCTCTACGGGAATGATAAAACATCAAAACATCTGGGTGTCCCCTGCACAATGTCCTTGCAGACAGCCAATTCTCTCACATCAGAAGCAACTTGTAGTTTCTCCAGTCAGGCCTCTCTCTCTCTCTCTCTCTCTCTCACACACACACACACATAAATTTCAGGGTTGTATGGATAATACATTGAACATCTCTATGGGGATGATAAAAAATCAAAACATGTGCAACGTCCTTGCAGATGGCCAGTTCTCTCACACCAGAAGCGACTTGCAGTTTCTTAAGTCACTCCTGATACACACACATACAAATTTCCTGGTTGTATGGACAATGCATTGAACATCTCTATGGGGATGATAAAACATCAAAACATCTGGGCGTCCCCTGGGCAATGTCCTTGCAGACAGCCAATTCTCTCATACCAGGAGCAACTTGCAGTTTCTCAAGTTGCTCCTGACACACACACAYATAAATTTCAGGGTTTTATGACAATACATTGAACATCTCTACGGGAATGATAAAACATCAAAACATCTGGGTGTCCCCTGCCAATTCTCACACACCAGAAGCAACTTGTAGTTTCTCAAGTCAGGCCTCTCTCTCTCTCTCWCACACACACACACACACATTTCAGGGTTGTATGGACAATTCATTCAACATCTCTATGGAGATGATAACACATCAAAACATCTGCAATRTCCTTGCAGATGGCCAGTTCTCTCACACCAGAAGCGAGTTGCAGTTTCTCAAGTTGCTCCTGACACACACACAAATTTCAGGGTTGTATGGACAATACGTTGAACATCTCTATGGGGATGATAAAACATCAAAACATCTGGGTGTCCCCTGCACAACATCCTTACAGACAGCCAGTTATCTCACACCAGAAGTGACTTGCAGTTTCTCAAGTCAGGCCTGACACACACACACACACAAATTTCAGGGTTGTATGGACAATACGTTGAACATCTCTATGGGGATGATAGAACATCAAAACATCTGGATGTTCCCTGGGTAACATCCTTGCAGACAGCCAATTCTCTCACACCAGAAGCAGTTTCTCAAGTTGCTCCTAAAACACACACACACACAAATTTCAGGGTTTTATGACAATACATTGAACATCTCTATGGGGATGATAAAACATCAAAACATCTTGTGTTCCCTGGGCAGCATCCTTGCAGACAGCCAATTCTCTCACACCAGAAGTGACTTGCAGTTTCTCAAGTTGCTCCTGACACACACACACACAAATTTCAGGGTTTTATGGACAATGCATTGAACATCTCTAGGGGGATGATAGAACAACAAAACATATGGGTGTTCCCTGGGCAACGTCCTTGCAGACAGCCAATTCTCTCACACCAGAAGCGACTTGCAGTTTCTCAAGTCAGGCCTGACACACACACACACACAAATTTCAGGGTTGTATGGACAATACATTGAACATCTCTATGGGGATGATAAAACATCAAAACATCTGGGTGTTCCCTGGGCAACATCCTTGCAGACAGCCAATTCTCTCACACCAGAATTGACTTGCAGTTTCTCAAGTCACTCCTGATATATATACACACACACACACACACACATTTCAGGGTTGCATGGACAATACATTGAACATCCAAACATCCAGGTGTCCCCTGGGCAACGTCCTTGCAGATGGTCAAAGCCAATTCTCTCACACCAGAAGTAACTTGTTTCTTAACAATGACCATTACTCCAGGTCAAAGGGCCATGTAAATCACCATGTTTGTAGGCTCGAATGGAAGGTTTGGGGCTAATCTAATCTCTCCAGGGAGGGCATTCCAAAACCGGGGAGCCACCACCAAGAAGGTCTGTGACAGTGGTGGGACTGAGAGAAGGGCCTCCCCAGCAGGTTTTTGTCCCCAGAGTATATTTCCCCACCTGTATAGTCTATATTTATGACCCTGTTCTTTTATGAGTTTCTCCCTCACAAGCAATCTGCTCCATCCCTGTCTCATCCTGATTTTAGTATTTTTAGTATCTTAGTTTTTTATCTTGCACATGCGGCCCGCTCATTGTTATTTTATTTTATTGTGTATGATTTTGCTTTATTGTTTTTTGTAATCATATGTTGTATGTATTTTACTGTGTTGTTATTGTATTTTGGTTTTATTTTATTGTAATATGCTGTTGGGTTGTCCTCATGTAAGCTGCTCTGAGTCCCCATTGGGGAGATGGTGGCGGGGTATTAAATAAAGATCATCATCATCATCATCATCATTGTTCTGGAACAGCTGTTCCAGGAGCTCCAGATTTATTTGCTGTGTTTAATGTTTGTTTGCAATCCCAGGGTTGGGATTTTGCGGCAGGGTGGCTTCCTGTTATAGGCTGCAATCATAGGGTAAGCCACCTGCCAATTATAGTTAGGTTCCCTGGTCCCGCCCCTTCTTGAGTTTTTGGAGGGAAGGGGCCATTTTTCAGTCAGTCACACAAGGAAGCCAGTCTATAGGACGCAGATCAGCTAGTCCCGTAGGAAAGGCTTCATTCCTCAAAACCTTCCGGGGAAATAGAAATAGCCATCCGGGGATCATCCAAAGGTGATCCGGGGTCCATCCAGTGACCATCCAGGGGTCATCCAGTGACCATCCAGTTCCAGGGAAACAGAAGGAAAAGGTCCCAAAGGCTCTGCTGAGAGCTCACAGCCTCTCAGCCTCAAAGCACCAGAGGGGAAAACAGCCCTGAAGTTTCCACAGGACATCACTGCAGAACCACAGAATTCCAGCTAAACATCTTCTAGCTTCGTCTGGTAGGTTACTCGGTTTCCAGACGCATTTGGGGATCGGCAGTATTACCCAGACCAGCGAGGCCTAGGTGATGGACGGCCTGGGAGGGATTATAAAGAGTTCTTCCTTATGAGATAGTACAGTCAAACCAAGTTAGTGCCAGTCTCTTAAAGACTTGAATAGTAAAGCCGTGAAGTTTTGTTTGAAGATTTGTTCCTTAATAAAGACTTTGTTGTACTTTTAAAGACTCTAAAGCCCATTACTTTTGGAAGTCTCTAACAATCTCTCTTCGGGCACCCCGGCTTCCCACTGGGTTTAAAGTGTGCGTTCTATAGAATAAAGACATTTTGTTCGGACCCAGTGGCGACAGAACAATCATCATCATCATCATCATCTCATCTGTTCCCCCATTTTTATCTTCACAAATATCCAAAGAGAGGCTACTTTGTGAGATGGACCATTCTGGGACCATTGGAGCTAAGCAAAGATTGAAACCCAATTCTCCACTATCTGTTTCCAGTTATCTATCTATCTATGAATAAATAAATACATTCATCTGAGAAGCCACCAAACATGAGAAAGCACCAACAACGTAATGCAAATTACTTGAGAGACATGACAGGGCTAAAAACCAGTGGCTTGGTTGGACATTCCTTTGCAGCAAACTTTAACCTCAGAACAGTATTTGATATTTGTAGATATTTATATACTTCTACATTTTATTTATGTGGCTTTTACTCATCGATTCCCAAATGTTAGCTCTCCAGGTGTTGGGGACCTCAGTCCCCAGAATGTATGTTAGCCAAGGTGACTGTGGCTTCTGGGACCTGAAGACCAAAAACACATTGAGAACCAGTTTGAGAACCACTGCTTTAATGTCAGTATGGTTTGATCCTGGAAGTGATTGTCGTAGTAACGTGCCTTATACTTCAGCACTGGAAAAATTATATTTGTAAAATTATATTTTCAAGGAATTTTGCAGTTTTGTAAAATTTACGATTTTTAAAAAACCCATTAAACCTTTATTAACTGGGGGAGAGCCAGATAATCCTACCTTCTTATTTCACTTCTGTGCTGGCATGATG